GTGGTCGTCCTCGTCCTCGCGTACCCATCTCTTTCATAGCACCAGGACACACCTGGCGTAAATGTGCTCTCATGAGCGCCCATGTGCACCTCTCTTTCTGCCTGCTGCCCTTACGTGCCCTGTAAATCCAGAGCACACCCCGATTAGCACGCCCACGCACTCTATCACTCGCGAATATGGCCAAGATCCTCAACAAGGACCCCGTCACCTACGAGAGGGAGAGGGACAACTTCCTTAAGGACCTCCGTCATTTCCATGAGACCAGAGGGTAAGCTGATTTCGATGCTTCTCATTCTTCCATTCCATTATTTATCTCTCTGTCTGGCTACTCTCTCATACATCGATCATTATTTTCCGCTCCGTTTCCTCGTTTCCATTCAACCGTTTTCTCTATTTTTCTTTTCTTTTCTTTTCTTTATCATTATTTTCATTATTATCATCATTATCATCATCATCGTTATTATTATTATTATTTATGTATCTTGCTCTATTCGATCGCTAGAAACACATATTCTCGTTCAATCGTTCTCGCGACGTTTCGAAAGTGATTCGGATTAACATTGCCTACCCAGAATGTAGACAAAGTTGAGGTTATGTACGATTAGTTTAAAGTTTCCCAGAGAAACTCGCCTTTGTGCAAGCCATTTGTTTACGTGTGTTCCATGTTTTCTTTATCGACAATTATCGGTCGCCTATCTTATTGCGATTGAGGTTACGTTCGATCGAAACGAACAATATTATGATCAACTTGTTGATTTTTTTTCCTTTCTTTCATTCGAATTTATGTCGCTCGATATCGCGATTCTTGTAAACGCTAAGGTTTTTTCTTCATTCGATAACTGGATTTTAATGATATTAACACGAATGTACAAGCGTTTGAACAATCGAATAACTGCGAATCATTTCACGCGTAAACATTGTCCTTTATTACGTCATTGTTCATGTTTTATTAGTTTAGGAAACGGATACAAAGCATTTTCGATGGTCATACTAAACGGTTTTAACCTCGGTCGGAATTTGTCTATTTGTCACTGAATCTGTGTATTCGTTGAATACAATCAAAGAATCGACATGTCTCCACCTAATTTATATTTTTAGTAATTTATTGATTTTATATATTTTTACATGTTTTATATGTCTAATTATATCTATGTATAATAGTACTATACATATCGTGTATAATTTAATACGTATTGACACCTCCTTATACCATATACGTAAATGTGCAATTACGCGTACCGAAGAAAATCAAATGTTCTTATCGTTTAAAAAATAATAATAAATAAAAAATAACAGGAGATAACAAGTTAATAAGTAATCTATCATTTACTTCGGCGAATGCTAAGATTCAAAAAATAAAATTCACAGTACAGTAATTTATGGCATTATTTTTGTACTCTATAAATATCACATTTTTCTATTATACCGTTGGTTTTTTTTACACATATCGTAAATTTGACACGTTTCAGGACTCCGTTCAAGAAAAATCCGAAAATCAATGGAAAAGATATAGATCTGTACTTGTTGTACGTCGTCGTTACTGCTCATGGCGGATGGATAAAGGTGAGTCCATACTGACATGTATGTATACATTTTTCTCTCCAGTTTTTCGAGTACAGTTCAGTTTTGCCAACATGCCCCGTGTACAAAAATATTTGATATCCATAACTTCATACGTAATTCTCGCGTAACACAATGGGCGAAAATGTCAGAAATATTATGTTTCTATGTATGTGTATGTATGTATTAGCAAAACGTGTGAATAGGGTTTTACCACGTACCTGGATACGGTATATGCTCTCATTTTACACTCATTTTTACACTCGTGATCCTTTCGTTCGAATTATTGTTTCCACGCTAATTTACATTTCTTGATCATTTCTCTTTTAGATTATTATCATTGCAAATACGTGCAATATACCAAGGTTCATAGGATGATGCTTTGAATAAAAATAAAACACTATAATGAGAATATTCTTTTGCTTCTCGTTATTCTTATATGATTTTATATAATAAAAAGAAGGATAATTTTATAATTTAATACTTAGGGTACGGATCACCCGTGTTCATACTATTACGATACTTGTCTACACTTTAGGCACATTGAACGAGGTGTATCAATCGTTTATCTTTTATTTTATCTCAAGCGCAATAAGAAAATGATACTCGAACACAAAGTTCATTGAATGTATAGGTCTAACATTTTGTCTATTATATTCTAATAAAAACTTATTGCGTTGTATCGCAATACTGTGACGAAGCTTCGAAACACGCACAAAGTATTTATGTGGACTGAGAAATAAAGAAGCAAATCTCGGATAAGCTTACTTGGCCGTTAGCAAACGTGTAACTTTTATAAGATAATGCGAATTTTTACGAAAATTTTATTACGCGGTGGAGGAGGTACGATCTGTTTCATACATTTCGAACGACCCAATTTCCTTGTCGTCGAACAATTGGCCTTTCTCAGTTATATCCAATCTAGTTCGAATATATTCAACGGTACGTGGAGCAACGTTTATTCACAAATCAGTTCCACGATCGGTTCGGGTCATTCTGTCACATTCCGTGTTTTCATTCCAAGTTACATGGCAGACTGTCCATCCTACCGATCAGGTACTCGATTCGGTTCTGCGCATCGAAATCGCTTTGGCTCGTTTACCCAGCTCGAATTTCGAGTATGCGAATGCCTCGAGCGTCCGCGCACGCTCCTAGGCGCGGGAAGGACGAGTGGTCGCGTGCTCTTTGCTACGGAAGCCTCCCAAATTCAAGACTACCGGTCTACTAAGTATGTACATATATATATATATATATGTATATATGTAACCTCCTTGAGGTAGAATTATTAAAAAATTAATAATCTGCAAATTAATTTGTAATGTGCCAAACGAAATTAAAAACGACGAATCAACCCAACTTATTTTATAAAAAATGCATTGTTTTAGTTATATGACTCAAATTCGTAAAACGTCGGAACATATTTGTGACAAAATTTCTTCTTCGATTATTCTTCTAATACGTACTTTTGCCCTCCCCCTTTTTTTCTCTTGTTTTAAGTTCTATCGTTAACAAAAAAAATGGTTTTCGATCCATCACGCGCGATTAATAATCGAGCAATGCGTCCCGGAAACGCGGGAAAACGATTGTTTGGCGAAACGGGTACACTCGTTCGTCGATCACGTGCTTCGAAAATGAAACTATAACAATGACAAAATCTATAGCTGCTTTATTACGTGAAATCAAAGTAAATAACCTTGATGATAATTGCATAAAACTAAATCGCCATTTTACATCTTTGCCAATGATATTTTGCAAAGAAAAAAACAGTTCACTCTACATGACATATTGGTTGGTTGGATTATTTGTTATATTAAAAGATTTTACTACCTATTGTTATATATTAGATATTATGGGATATGGCGGTTCACGTAAACAACGCAATAGTGTAATATTCACCTCTTTTGAACTACTAACTAACTACAACCATCTATGCGTGTATAGCCACACGTTTGATACAAGCACGATTTTCAAAACCATGTGGTGCATATAAATATACATACATAAGTATGTTTCACGAAGAGTGTACAATTTTTCGATTTACTCGAGATATACTTATGAGCAGGAAATATGTGTGTACATTGTACATATCTATGTACAGTAAAGTAAAACGTGAAACTCGATGCGATCTGGAATACGATTATTTTGTTATACTTTTACACTTGCGATAGTTAGAGTCGAGCATATTGGCAATTTTTTAACACAGGAAGCTCGCTGTATACATTTTTCGCGATTAACCTCGCCTAACCTCGATTTCCGATAATCGCGTCTTTCTCATCGGGAGAAGACCCAAAACCAAAGGGTCACCGCACAACGTTACACGACGCGTACGGCCCGAGCTTGTCAAGTTTATAAACAGTAATTTACGCGCGCGTGTTGTCATTCATGCACGTGGATTGATACGTACACGTAACATTATGGTTAACGAATCTTACAGAAACAAGAATGAATCATGTTCGGGCATTTCTTACATTTTGACAAACATACGGTACTGTTCGCATAAAGCCAGGTGCACGCTGACAGACAATTGCCCGTAGGCACGCGTTGTTTGTCCAAGAGAATTCATTAGCATTATTATCTTTTAATCTTCGACACGTAGGTTTGGCGCACGTTTTAATAAACCGAATCAATTCGGATGTAATTTCTTTAACGCGTCGAATAGATCTCTCTTTCCGGCGAAAAGGCCTTTTCGGGGAACACCGAGGCCTTTGAGATCCTGCATTCGCTCGAATCAATTCAGAATTCAATTTCACATCTAATTTCTGACCATACTTCTCCAGATTTTTTAGAAAGTAAAAGCAACTTTACAAAGTAAATCTATATATATATATATATAAATTGCTGGGGTTCGGTGTTAAAATTTACGATTTATATTTATAAATTTAAGATTTACTTGTTGTTAGACCTACGTTTACGGAGTGAAATTGACGATATCGAGTTGTCAACGATGTATACACGTTATGTTTACGTCGTGTATCGATGTCACACATATGTACGCTCGCGCGTTTCTTTTCGCACACTCAAATTCTCAGAACATTTAGTATTCGTTCGAACGTTCGCCTCGATGTGGTTTCTTTGTATTATGCATATGGAAAACGATAGAATAGAATTCGTTTCCATACAACTTCTTGTTGATGTAAATTTGAATTCATTTCTTTTTGAATATTTTATTTAACATTGGAAAACAAACTGTGAAGTTTGAACAGTGATTCAGGCATTTCAATGAAATAATTGGTCGTCCGTTTGATTCGCATAGTAGCTTTCGATTCGTCTAACGTAACGAGGTCTCTTTGCGCTACGACGAGTAACGAAGCGATCGAAATGATTTTTTGAACGCGGTATCCTTGTCTCTGCTACTCTCCGCTGCTGTCGTAATTCGATCGGTTTATTTAAGAACAATGCGTATCTATTTTTTTCAAAATGAACCAATCTTTACGTTCGGTGATCGCAAAATTATTTCTTCGTTTAAGGATAAGTTATAAGAAAAAGTAGTAGCCGTTGTTGTATAACTTTTCAAATCAATATTGCAACGTTGAAACATGCGTTCCGTTAAAGATAGAATTTTTGCTGATTGTTTATGTCTGCGTCGTTGTTTCGTCGCTTTTTCGTTATACTCAAAACACCTCCGTGTAACAATTTTTGCAGTTAAAGTCAAAGTGTTCCCAACTACTTTTTCGTTCGAAATAATTTATTGGTAATGCGCTTTTTGTATTCGAACAGGCTTCCGCATCCTCGTGACGGCGCGTTCTCCACCGAGATAAGCCAAGGATATTTCTTTACGCAATTACGAGAGAAACATACTGCTTCGGATCAAAAAATTGCCACCCTTTATAACGCATCGCTATAAGATTCTCTCAAATAGAATGTACGTTACATAGTTATAAAGTAAGCTATTTCATTCGCATAAGTTTCTGGATGATTGCTTCTCTAGAGTAAAAACCGTTGGTCTATGTTTTCTTAAGAACCGATTCGATATTACATGTATATATAGATATATATGTGTGTGTGTGTGTGTGTGCGTGTAGTCGTATGTATGCACATAAACGTACATAGGTATGCACTTGTGCGGTGGCAGCGCTGTGGCATAACATGGCGAAGCTTTTCACCTCTCTTCCTTCTCGTTGCATCTGGTAGCATCTTAACGTATACCATCCGTCAAAATAGCCACTGTACACGTCCTTTCTTAAGGTACATTCGTACCTTCTATGCAATGATCCATTACTTTCACGCGTACAACTTTTTGTAATTCGTTTCTCTGTTAGAATTTGAAATTCCTCGTTAGACATTAATATATAATTTATATCGCTCTCTAGGTAAACTAAATTTGAAATAACTATTTATAAGTTCTAGCATTATAGTTTATTCAAGTATACTTTACATTTGAAAAGAAATAATACTTATTTTACATTTCGTATCAAGCGTTTCGAAGAATTAGAAAAATTATGATTTTTCTATAACGGATTAAAGTCTACGGACACCGCAATCGACAATTTTAATATTCGTTCCTTTGTTAGAAATACTTCATCGAATCGTCACTTTCCGGGAAAGTCGTACTACGGAACACGTTCCGCGCAATGAAAAGACGCGTCTGGCTTCTTCTCGCTTCCCTTCTCCCATCGAATCTCCTTTTTCAACTAGCGAAAAAGTGCAAACGCGTATAGAGTCGAGAGGACGACTTATTCGTCATCGAAGTTATCGTCGAGGGGACAACCCCCTGAAAAACGTGCATAACCTATACCACAGCGATTTCCAACGAAAGAATCATGGCGAATTCTCCAGCGAATAGCGGAATGTTTATACGAAACAAAATTTCATTAAACTTCTTATCTTTCCTTTTCTTTTTCCGCTAATTAAACTTATTGATGCAGATAAAGAGGTAAAGGTAAAGAGGTAACCATGGGAGTCATATAAGTCTTTTCGCTTATTTGTCCAATTTCTAAAAAGCTTTTTTATTTCTTTTTTCTCGTGTATTTATGTATCTATGATATTTACAATTTCTCCATTTC